CACTTTTGCGAAATGAATGTTCTCGTGTTGCTGTGTATTTCGTGATTGATTAAGAACGATTAGTGTCAGCTAATAGCGAAAATTTTCACTTCTATCGCGAACAGTCACGGTGCCAATTACGACGAACTCGCGGCACATTTGTGTTAATTACATTTTATCATTGACAAAATTAATTGCTATATTTTTATCTAACCGAGCGATAAAAAAGAAATAAATAAAAGTTGTATTCGAATTATCGAATACAAAACTCAATTTGTAACGAAAACGTTAGGGACTGTGGTCTCAAACGCACAGTCGCTACATTTGTTAACCACCCTAATTACTGTCCCCCCCTAGTACGGCCGTACGCCCGGGGGTGCCGTAGGCCTGTCTCCTTCCGTCGACCCCCGTCCCAATCAGCTATGACGTACTTTCCCAACGATCCGCGGAGGTCAAGTCAATCCGTTGACGCGATCGAAAAATTACTGCGGGCAAATATCCTCGGGCGAATATATACGTATGCCGCGCCGTGCCGCGCCGCGCCATTTCCCCTCGCCGGTCGCCGTTACGCAACGAAGGGTGAGATCGAGGAGTAAACGTGCGTGCGGGGGTGCAACGAGAGAGACTCTCCTTTCGGTAATCGATACTAATTAGAATGAGGCGAAGTTTCGGACGTGTGCCGACGTTCGCTTCAACGATACACCCGTTCACCACCTCTTCCCTATCCCCGCGCCTCCCCCTCCCGTCACCCTCCCGTCCCTCTTCCGGGAGGGGGTTAATATCGACGAGACGTACCTACGACGCATTGTAGGCTTTCGTAGAATTTATCCGGCCATTATATCGGCGGCTGTGAGTGTTCCCGACATAAATGGGCCCTATCACTGTCACACAGACAAAGCGCAGCCCCGACGTGGTTATGACGGCAACGCGATACCCGCTTTCGGGGTAATAATATAATAATCGCAGTTGTTTTGCCGTCGTCGTTGAACCCCGCGGGATCGTCTCTCCTCCTCGTCTCGTTCTTGTCTCTAAGCTCTCTTTCCGCCCCGGGCATGAATAGGAGACGGGAGAAAACCGCACGACGGTTCTCCTCCGCGGCAGGATACATCGGGCGAGCCTGAATATGGATTTCATTCTTTCATATCGGCGCTTTGTGCAATTATTTTGCTCCCCCCCCTTCCCCTTTCCTATCCCCGTTGCCCTTTTATCGCTCCTTTTATCGTCCTTCTTTGTACGAGCGTTTTTCCTCTCCTCGCCAATATGAGCTTTATTTCTCTCTATTTGGAATAATTTTTTTATATATATTTTGATGCAAATATCAAAATCAAAACAATCTTTCGCTTGAGAGAGCGATGATAAAAAAAACCGTTCGATGAGAGTTTTATTTACTTTTTTTTTAAGGTATGTACAATACTCTCAATACTCTGCAGTGATACATGGACTTTCAATCAAAAGAATCTGTGAAAGTTTTCAAATATTTTGACGATTTGAATGATAGAATTTTTGAAAAACTTAACGATAAAATTTTAAAAAATTTAAAAATAAAACGATTTATAGCATAAACTGAACACAAAAATACCATACTGTTATTAAATCTATTAGAATTTTCGAGGATATTCGATGCATTGAAAAAGGTCTTCGATTTTTCGGTCAATATGAGCCAATTCTTGCGGGGACAAAAGATTACAAGTGGAAAGCGATGGTCTCCCCATCGTTTTTTTCCCCGGCTGTTACGTCCTTGACCGCTTTAACTGATCAGCCGATATCGATTGCGCCTACCGCAAAACTGTACCGATTGCTCGAACAATCAACCGCTTCCGCCAACGACGATGTCGGTTACCGTCGCTCGTTTAGATTGTCTCGGAATGGCATCTCCGGAAACTGAAGAGAATAGCGCAATCAAAACGAGATAAAATCGAAGACACATCCTCCGAAGCGTCTGAATTGAAGGAGCAAAGAGTTAAAGCCGATGGTTATCAGAGTATCAACGTATTCGGTCTTCAATTTAAAAGAGCATCAAAGTGGCTTGATTTATTAGCGGCTTATTACATTTATCTAACCCTGCAATATATTTTCGTCTCGAGATATTTTCACTTACCTTTCAATCCCCCGTCGCCCTATTTAAGACAGAGACCAATCGATAAGAGGGAGCCTATCAGATATCTTCGATGTCTCCTTTCGCAAAATATAGCGCTCGCTTTATCCTGACGAATCGCAATATCGGACGACTGTTTCGATCGGTAGGTGCTCTAGTCGGGAAAATCTCTCTCGACTGTTTGACGAGAAGCTCATCCTCATCGTAAACACGGTTTCTCGCGATGCGGCCGCGGGAGACGCCCCGCGAGAGGCGTCCCGCTGTTGCTTCTGGTTGCCTCGTCGTCGAGATCGAACGCGTCTGTTAGGAATGTTTCGATCTCACCTCGCATAAGCGGCAGTAATCCCTACGACAAGGAGCACCCGGCGACATTTCACGAGTACACAAGATAACACATCGAAACGACGGGGAAGATGGGGAGGGGGAGGGGGGGGGAGGGGGGGAGTGGACTCGCGATCCGGTTGAGTATCCGTAAACGCGCTCTCGGAAGGGCCGTAAACCGTACCCAAACAAACTTGAAATAGCTGGCCGACTCCGACGAGCTGCGCCTTGACGAGTCTTGCTGACTGCTGATGCCGGCACCGTCTGTATTCTCGGCCGCAAATAAATAATAAACGTTACACGCACGGTCGCCAGCCCCTGCGAGAGCTGCACCCTGGGCGTATCATCGGCTCTTTTACGACTGACGGATGCTTCGGAAAACGGCCGGCGGATGAGAATGAAAGTAACCGGTTGCTGAATAAAGTGATAACAACCGTGTTCCGTGATATTTTTCTGGAAGGCTTATTCCTATCACGATACTCCGCTATAATCTGCTTTGCAAGGATTATGCTAGTTCTTCATCCAAAATTAATAAGTAATCTAATTTAATAAGAAAAAATATATTTTATTCTAATATTATTATTATTATATAATAAAAAAACTTAATAATATAGCAACTTTATAGTCAATCTCGCGAAACTCATGAAATGGGTGAAGTTATGCTTTTTATCGCGCCCCAAAGGGTTAAAACGGATACGTGTTATGTGAGATTATATATTATGATTATATTCCCAGTTATTGCGAGTATCGATGATGTTAATTATCATTTCAAATAGCGAATGGGCTTTAGCCATTTTTTCAACGACCCTCGCTCCCATCGATATACCATGACCACCGTCTCCTTCCCGCTGATGCCCTAAGGGCAGCTGGCAGCGCTTCCGAGCCCTAAAGCCACACCCTCGATTCTCATTAAGATTTACCGTGTAAACGAGCGTTGCATGTGTCTGAACGGTGCTACTAATCGAACCCCTCGAGTCGAAAGAATTGAAAACAATGCGAAGCCGTCGCGTTTGAGGCTTTTAAGAGAACGAGATCGCCGGCCGTTTAAGAGTATCGAGGCACGAAATCGAGGCAGACAATTTACATTTAACGAAATTACTACAATTATCGGTAAATTAATCTTATGGTCACACGTGGAGAAAAAAATTCACGCTAAGAAACAAAAAACTCGACAATTTTGATAACTCCATTTACGGGAATATCGCAGAAATGTGTTCAAGCGAAAAACTTTGAAATTAATTATAATAAATATAATAAATGTAATTTCATTGCACCTCGTTAAAATTTAATTTGCAAAAAATAATATAATTTTTTAGTCGTTTATAATCCGGAAATTGCAATGATGTTTTTGTAAAAAAAATATATATTTATCAAAAGAAAAATAAAAAACTTTGCGATTTCAATGATATAAAATCGAATGAATAGATTATTATCATCTTATTATAGCTTATATCATCTTATTATCATCTTGGTCGAATCAGTAAAGAATTTTCAATTAAATATGAATACCAATGGGAATTAGAAAACGCAGATTCAGTGTAATTCTGGTCCTGCGATTAATTAGCGAGGACGACCGATGGGAATTTAAGGAGTAAACGGGAGTAAGATCGTTGATTTTAGAGTTTAGACCGAGGAGCCTAACTCACTTGCTTGGCTTTCCTCCTGACTTCGTCCACGACGAGGCTATGGCTTCTCTCATCTTCCCCTGTATCCTGTATTTCCCCCGCTCCCTCCCCCGTCCGCATTTCACCCTTCGTGTCTGTCTCTCTCT